AAACATCACCAAATTAATAAAGCATCGGTAAAGTAAATATTTTAACCCTAAAACTTGACCAACTTTGAAAAGGGATGTTTAAACTTATAAGTCGACAACAAAGAGGGACGAAAGATACCAGAGGGACAGTCAAACTCATAGATCGAAAACAAACTGACAACGTCATGGCCAAAAATAAAAAGACAAACAGACAAATAATAGTACAGATGACACAACATAGAAAACTAAAGACTAAGCAACACGAACCCCACCAAAAACTGGGGGTGATCTCAGGTGCTCCAGAAGGGTAAGCAGATCCTGCTCCACGTGTGGCACCCGTCGAGTTGCTTATGTTATTACAAATCCGGTAAATAGTCTAATTCGGTAAGTCACAAACTGACAACATCATGGCAAAAACGAAAAACGACAAAAAGACAAACACCACTATACAAATCACAACATAGAAAACCAAAGACTGAGCAATACAAACCCCACAAAAAAAACGGGTATGAAAGCCTTGATTTCATTTTCTACTTGATATAAATTTGCAGCATTCGTATATCAAAAACGCAATCCCTAGAACATCGTATCAGCTGCAAAGTACAATTTGACCCACAATAATAAATATCAGCAAAGCCGTGTCTCAGTTTTGCTCATTAAGTCTTGTTGGTGGCCATTTTGATTTTTTTTTTAATTTCTAATAGAACATCATGACATACTAGAAATGTTGTATTACATTTTATTTGCCTTCAAAAGATTTGGTTTGAATATTATTTGCGTTGTTGTATACATGGTTGTGTTAATTAGACTAATTGGACGCCATCATGAAAATGGCCGCCATATTGAATGTTTCAGAGTGGGTCCATAGCTTAAATTGACTACCAGACATATTTCTATAATTGTGCAAAGTTTCATTCTTTTATCATCAAACCCACAATTCATTTGGAAATATACATGAATCATCAGCACTAAATCTTAAAAGGCTGCCGAATGACAAATGGAAAACAAGGACAATTTCAGTCTTTTGACAAATTCTAAGATAATCTTTTTTTCTGCTTACAGTTTTCGCTATCTATCATATATAGTTTTCAAGATAATTGCAACAAATGGGTAAACATCATCAATTAAGGAGTAGATTGACATTTTTGCTCATATCTAAATTTTGTAGATTGTATCCTGGTGTTCATTTTACTTTTTTTCAAATCGTCTATTACATATTTTATCAATCTATTTTCTTTGTTCTCTTTACCATTGCTATATATACAATATTTAGGTTTCAATACAGCCTACCTTTGCTTTTTGTGTGGTATTTTTTTGGAGTGCATGTACTGATTGTGTGTCATGAATGGATACCCCATATCCTTTATTTTTCTATTACATTTAGGCAGGAGGACCCACGTGTTTGTTTACACATACATACATAATCTGCTTAGCTCTGACCCTTTGTTCATATAAACCATCAGTTTGGTAAACTATAACATATTTACAAGTGTCAAATAGCATTTATCCAAGTATAATTTCCTGTTGTCGTAAAAAAACAATCCAGCAGATAATTAATTTAAATTGGTTTCAAAGATTATTAATATTGCAAAGATGACATTTGCTATCATTTCATTCTACGTAATTCTTCCTCTCCTGTTCTATGGATAATCTGTGATTCTATATTCCCTTATGAGCAATGCGCAAAACCTATAATGGTTAGTAAGCTATAAAAGCTCCTTAAATTGAAAAAAAAAATTAACCAATTAAAACAAACAAAAACCAAGAGCTTGATTTATGTACAAACAAACTAGAGGCTCTAAATAGCCTGGCTCGCTCACCTATGTACCTTGGGTATTTCAGTTTTACACGGGAAACTCCACACTAAAATTTACGACAAAATAGACGATTTTTCGTTCCCTATTGTTAATTTTCCTTTTTGGGATGGTGATGTTCCTTTGGCACCGTCTTACGGTGTTTATATATCACAACTCGTTCGCTATGCCCTTGTCTGTTGTGACGTTTTGGATTTTAATAAACGTAATCTATGTATTACTGGTAAATTATTAAGTCAGGGATTTCGTTACCACAAATTACTTAAAACCTTCACAAAATTCTTCCATAGATATAAAGATTTGGTTTTGAAGTTTGGTTGTACCTGTAGAAAACTTATTTCAAACGGGATAGCACATCCTAATTTTTACAGAGATGTTGTGTATTACCTTTTGAAAATTATATAAATTGATAATGTGTTCACCGTATTACGACTAAAATAGTATCAATTAAGTATTAATAACTACACATTCTGTATGTATATGCCTGTCCCAAGTCAGGGGCCTGTAATTCAGTGTTTGTCGTTTGTTGCTGTGTTACATATTTGTTTTTTGTTCGTTTTTTTGTACATAAATTAGGCTGTTAGTTTTCTCGTTTGAATTGTTTTACATTTGTCATTTCGGGGCCTTCTATAGCTGACTATGCGGTATGGGCTTTACTCATTGTTGAAGGCCGTACGGTGACCTATAGTTGTTAATTTCTGTTTCATTTGGTCTTGTGAAGAGTTGTCTCATTGGCAATCATTTCACATCTTCTTTTTTATATATGTGCATCTTCAATAATGGACCCTCTCCAACATTGTGGACTAGAATAGAATTCAGGACAAAATTTTCTACTTAGGTGATCTTGTATTGCTGATCATTGTTTCAGTCCACAGTTTTTCTCTGCCTTCTTTAGTTTTGCCCAAAAACATAGAAAAGGGTTTTAAACAAATCGTCCCTAAAGGGCAATTACACCTGTCAAGAATCTCCTAATGTTTTCGGAAAAAAAATATTGTTGATCTTGTCTTGCTGATCATTTTTGCGATTTAAAGTGTCTATCTGTCTTTGACATATTTCAAAATAATAGGCAAACATGCCAAAAAAAGTCATTAAAAAGCAAGAACTCCAATAAGGAGTCGACTGACGATGTCAGTTATGTTAACTTACTGTGGATTCATTGATATTCGTTGGATACCAATTTTCGAGGGTTTCGTGATTGAAGGTGAACCACGAAATCTAATATTCAACGAATTACAAATTTTGTATAGGCTTTGTATTCAGAGATTAACCAAACCACGAAATCAAATATCCACGAAAATGCTAGTTTTTCTGAATCCACGAAAATCAATACCCACGAAAATAAATTAATCGACAGTATTTGTAGAACTTATTTGCAGATCATTTTTTTTTATCTCTCTTTTATAGCTTTTAAGATTTAAGCAAAAAATTGTTAAAAATCGTCATTTAATGTCAATAGCTCGGTAACATTTTGTCTTGTTACAGATCGTGTCTTGCTGATCATTTTTGCTATTTAAAGTGTCTATCCATCAATGATAGTTTTCTAGATTTTCTTTTAGACTACTTTGTAGAAATTGTCTTGCTAATCAAGTGTGCTTATTTTAGTAACTATCTACCTATTATAGGTTTTAAGATAAATGTATTGACAAAACTGCAAAAAAATAGTAAAAATTGGCATTGAAGGGCAATAACTCCAATATGTCGTCAGACGATTTAGGCTTCGTTTCCTCATTTGTAGATCTTGCCTTGCTGATCATTTTTGCTGCTTAAAATGTGTATTTATCTACACTGTAGTTTTCAAGATATAATGCAAAATCACTAAAAATTAATAAAAATCGTCATTAAAGAGAAATAACTCCAATAAGGAGTCCTGGAACAATTTCGACCATGTTGACTTATTTGTAGATCTTGTCTTGCTTGCTTATCTAAGTTTCCATCTATCTATATTTTTTCTTGAATTTAAGACGAAAATGCTAAATGGTGCAAAGTCATAAAGGGCAATAACTTCAATGAGGAGTCGGTGGAGCCATAGAGCTTATTTGTAGATCTTGTCTTGCTGGTCAATTTTGTTATTTAAAGTTTCTCTCTGTTTATCATAGGTTTTAAGATTTTTTAATTGGTAACATTTGTCATTTCAGGGCAATAACTCCTTTAAGAAGTTGTCTGACAGTTTTGATGAAAATGAACAACATGTAGATCTCAACATTCTGAACATGTCTGTCCCTTAGTGGTTTTCATATAATAGACAAAACTTGCATTTTACCCCTATGTTCTATTTTTAGCCATGTCCGCCATTTTTGTTGACAGGCGGGCTCATCCGACATATTTTGTTAACTAGATACCCAAATGATGATTGTGTCTAAATTTTAGATTTGTCCCATTAGTTTCTTAGATATTTGTAAAAGTAACCGGACCACTTCTGGCTACAGAGGCCAAGACAAATATGATAAGACAGCAACCTACCACAATCACTGAATTACAGGCTACTGACTTAGATCAGGCATATACAGAATATGGCAGGATAACACATGTTAATGAGCACTCACTGCTCCACCTAAACTCAACCAGCAGTGTAAGGCTTGACCATTAGAATGACACAAAGCTAAAATAAATAAAATGTTTGACACAGAGCAGAAAACTTAAAAATTGCTAATTAATTCAAAATCATTGGACCATGACCTAGGTGGCAGGGCCTCAAAATAGTTTTCAAATTGATATGTACTGATCATGATAGTAATGCAACCTTTTAGGAAATGTCATTGATCTATCACAAGCAGTTCCTCTCAAACTAACTTAAGCAGAAAACCTAACAAGTGTTGATGCCAACAGTGCTGTTGCTAAAATAGTAACAGCTATGTCTCCACTTCCAGGTTTTTCTTTGCAGGCGAGACAAATACAACAACTCCCAAAATAACTTAAGACACAAAGTTACCAACTAAGAGTACTCACAGTAACTGAAAGCTAGTTAAAAGCAAATTACAACTTATAAATAAATCATGTTTCCCAGACAAAATCGACCAGTACACATCAAATAGATTTAGTGTAAAGAGGTCATAAACAGTCTGACCAACACCTTTTCTGGTTTTTATTTCAATGGTCCATCAAAAATCAGTACAACTTGATTTTCTCTTTGAAATTTGCAGTGGGACAATGACAGACACTTATTGTACATGTAATACCAATAACTCCAAAAAAAGTAAATACAAATCATAAAATTCTTAATAATTTTATTATATAATATGGAAACTAGCAATCGTTTATATAAAAATATTTAAATAAAATACAAATATTCACAAATACCTCTTTCACACCATCAAGTTTTAAAATGCATAATATAATTGATCTTTAAATAAAGGTGGGAAAAAACAACAGATTTGAATATACAAAAAAAATAATGTGAACTAGAAAAATGTTTCAGCACAAAATTTTAGTTGAAATATCAAAGAAATGTGACAGTACTTAAAGAAAGAAAAAGAAAATTGACATCTACAAGCTTCAACAGTAGTTCTATCTTACCAAGTTAAAAAATCCCTGAAACAACAAAACTTTCTCTAACAAAAAATATGTATCCTCTCTAACAAATTCTCATGGATTTCGTTATAAAATGAATTCACAATCCAAAGGAAAGACATTTTTTATGCAATTTTTAAAACCAGGAATAAAGAATTCATACACCAATCTTTTCCCTTACATCACAAATTTCCAAATTCATGTAACATTTTTATTATTGTATCATTATTTTTACAAATTTAGGAGCAACTCTATCAATATCTTGTAAAATAGTTTCAAAATTTGGATCGTAGCTAGCTGGTTTCTATTAATAGAAATATCATATATTTTCTCAGTGTCAATCAATAATATTTTGCAGGAATGTAGAATAGTGTAAATTGATCTTCATTCTTACTGATGCACAATAAAACTGAACACATTATCCATGAGTCTGTAATGATGATGACACAGTACATTTGTAAAGTGAAATGATAATCACACACATGTATACTAAATGCACATCTGCAAAAATGTTCATCTGTTTTTTATATGTATCCATAATAAATGCACATCTGTACATATGTTCACATTTATTATTTTATGTATCCGTACTAAATGCACATTTGTCAGGTCTGTACTAACATAGAGATCCGCTGTCTTATGTATCTCCTGTCATAATGGCAATGAACTCATCTTCATTTACTGAAATATAAAGAAAGTGTACAATTCATTTACCATGTTTACAGCAAATATAAAAATAAGGAGATGTTGTATGGTTGCCAATGATACAATTCTCCTCCAGAGTTCAAAAGATGTGGGTATACGCAATTATAGGTCACCATACAACCTTCAACAATGAGAAAAAACTCACACTGCACAAGCTTTAAAGTCCATCTTTTTTTAAATTTTTTATGAAAGAAAGAAAATTTAAGATCAACATCAATGGAACAGCAATTCACAAAACAGTCATGTTGAGGTCAAGACTGGGATATCAACAGAAAACAAATAGTATGTTTTATTTTGACTATTCTTAAATATTGAAAAATGAAAAATATACACCTTGCATAAACTGACCATATGGGTAAAGCCAAAAAGGTGCTCCAAATTGGTCAAATAACCATCTGAAGCTTAAATCCCAATTTTAAAATATCTAATATATGTTATTTGATTACAACTTGTTATTGTGCATCAGTGACATGATGAAGCAGAAGATTTGATAAATATCAAATATCCGCTAATTCAATATGTCTTGTTATTGAAGTTTGTCAAACGTAGATCTGTACGTTCCTGTGTCCCAAGCGTGACATGGAAACCCCCTTCTAACAAAAAATATACCTGGTTGTTTTTATGGGCAAAAGAAAAACGGAAAGTAAGTTAAATTGTCAGAAAAGTGTTATTGCACTATAAATCCGTCAAAGTTTTTCGTGAAATGCAGTAAAATTAATCAAAGAAACGATTATTTCGACAGGGTTAGTAATGTTATATTGACAATAGACTACAATGGTAAAAATAACGCACGGGGTTTTCCGCGATATCGTCATCTGCGGAACATTTGATTGGTTCCTGTTATATTCATGCGCCGTCGTATCTCGGCTGTTTCAAATAGTTCTAGTTTTGGTTTCGTATTCCGTTTTATGAGAAGCATAGAATGGCAAGTTTGTCATGTCAAAATAACGTTAAACGTACGTAAATGTTTATTCCTTATTATTAACGGAAAGAGTTTATCCAGGGAGAAAAAAATACTTTGTTTCATTTCAAAATTGCTATATATACGAAACTAAATGTAAGCATCACTATCATTCATGGATGAAAATGGAAAAAGAACTCGATGGTAAGTTTTGAGCAAAATGTCAAACTAATAACGACCAGGGCGTCAAACAAAATATAACGACCAAACCATTCTGTCAAATTGACACTGTTTTATATAATTTTTTCCAAAATAATATGCTTAGAATGATAAGAACTAGCGAAAATAACGCATTCAAACACCCAAGTCAAACCGTTCGTTCACTTTTTACAGTATCATCGATATGACCGTTACTTGACCAATTTTGTCAACCCAGTCAATATAACACCTAGGATGTAGATGATCTTTGTAGAGATATACTGCACCATTCTTTTCATTTTACTTCTATTTCAACTTACAGATAATAAAGGGGGAAAGTTAATATACATGATATACATTTAAAAAGGGTGAAGTAATTTTCAGTGCTTTTTCACAGGGTGTTAGTTGACAATTATATGCATAGTCAATATAACCATGGCCATTAAGAGAGTTAGTTGACACCTTAATGTTAGGGTCAATATAACTCCTACTCCCACAGTAGTCCTAAAGCTACTATTACTACTGAAATATGTTGACTTTGGCTTTTAGCCTACAAATCTCTTGTACAATAAAAAAATTAAGCCTTTTAGTGAAATTGTAAGCATATTTCCTGCTTCTTTGAAATAGAGAGTAAGTTGACGACTAAAGGATTCAAGTCAATATAACCATGGTCCATAAGAGAGTTAGTTGACGCATTATTTTTCAGGTATTATAACCTATATGAAATATATTTTAAAAGCCAATACCATTGTTATTTTTTTTGTTTGGTCCTGGCCCTTAGCATAAAAATGCCTAATATCTGGGACTATTATACTATTATAATTAGTATAATAGTCCCAGCTAATATCCAATTCATATTTAAATTGGCACTCATACCACATCTTCTTATTTATATTAAAGCTTTTTAGATAAAATATGCATATTCAAGTCTCCTTTAATATAGAGAGTTAGTTGACAACTTAATTTAAGAGTCAATATAACTACTACATGAAATAAGCCATGCCAAAACCAATTACTTTTTGTTGGTCTTAAGCAAACAAGTCCCTTATTTTTCCTGCGCACGCAATTGCAGGGGACAAAGAAATACCGTCAGGCGGTCTGTCAGGTCTTGTTAGCGCTCTCACGGGTACAATTCTTGCCAGATTTTTATAAAACTTATACTATAGTTTTATATCAGCAATATCTCGGACAAGTTCTGAAATGGGTGCCGATCAACTTTTTAAAAAGAGTTATGCCCCTTGGAAATATTAAATTCATGGAAAATGACCTCGTTAGCGCTCTCACGGGTACAATTCTTGCCAGATTTTTATAAAACTTATACTATATGTTAATTTCAGCAATATCTTGGACAAGTTCTCAAATGGGTGCCTATCAACTTTTTTTAAAAGAGTTATGCCCCTTGGAAATATTAAATTTATGGAAAATAGTCTCGTAAGCGCTTTCACGGGTACAATTCTTGCCAGATTTTTATAAAACTTATGCTATAGGTTAATATCAGCAATATCTTGAACAAGTTCTCAAATGGGTGCCGATCGACCTTTTAAAAAGAGTTATGCCCCTTGGAAATATTATTTTTTGGAAAATGGCCTCGTTTACGCTCTTACAGGTACAATTCTTGCTAGAATTATATAAAATTTGTACCATAGGTTAACAACACCAATATCTCGGACAAGTTTTAAAATGGGCGCCAATCATTATCAACTTTTTTTAAAAAAGTTTTTTTTTAATTTCTTGTTTGTATTCTTTTTCAATACTTTGGGAATTAAAGGATGTGGGGTATAAGTGCCTATGGCATGGGACAAAAAAAATAACTGGCTAAAATGTGACAAAAAGCAGCACCATTCAACTCACATAGACCCAACAAATTCTTAATGGCTAAATAGAATTAGTGAACACTGTAAAAACCACAACCTATATAGATGTAAATACAGCATTTTATCAAAAGAATATCAACAATAAACAAGAAAACAGAAAATTGTCTCAAGACTATAACATGCAAGTTTCTGTCTTGAGACGGTGCAACAAGTTTGTTTTTAAGGACTCAACCTCCCCATAGGCCCATACCCTTAAATTTGACAATAAAAACATGAATGAAGACACACTGCAAATCAATGTGAAGTGGTACTTATTTCCAATGCTGTTTTCAACATGGATAACATACAACATCATAAACATAAGAAGATGTGGTATTATTGCCAAAGAAACAACTCTCCACCTAAGACCTAAAGAAGTAAAAAAAAACAATTATAGCCTATAAGGTCACGTTATGGACATGGAGCCTTGACTCACATTTTCGTTCATTTCAATTTAACGTCATGTATAAAACTATTTTAACTTTATTTATTGCTTTTCAGATCTTTGAGATAAATCAACTGAGTATGAACAGTGGAATAGACAGCAGAATGAACTTTAAAATGTTTTTAATTTGTTTAAATAAATGATTTATGGTTTAATTCTTGAATAGTGGTTTAATTATTAGTATTGTCATACATTAATGTGTTTTATATTTTACTTTCAAAAGTGTTGATTTAATAAGCTCTTGAAAAAAATTTGTTGAAAACAGTTGATCAATAAAGTCACCATCTGACATAGCCAAGAGTATCATAACTGTACATATTAAATGAGCAACCTTTGACCAAAGTACAAAGTCAGTTCAAGTGAGCCTAATTAACAATACTCCTTAATACGAACAGTAAACAATATGTTCCCCTAAATACTGTGAGTAACTCATTAAGTGTCTGTTTACCATCAGGCTAAACTAACTCTTGCAGTGCACCGGATAGTTTTATTGGGTTTGAGTTGTTATTTAAGGTTTGTTCTTTTCTTGTTATTTATCTTTATTTCTCCTCTCCCTTTTGGATTTGTAAATTAGTGCACCTTTATTTTTCTTGCATTCTATAGTTGTCACTTTGATCTGATAGGTCTCAGATAGTTTTGATTATGAGCTTGTGACTTCATTATTAGCTGAACAATAATGAACATGAACCCCTGCATGCATTCAAGAATTAGGTTTATATCAAAATAAACATAATGGATCAAACTCTTTGTGTTCAGATGTTACACCAGATTTCCTGTTTTTTTTTCAGTAAGTTACTTGACATTGTGTCAATATAACAACCAAAAGACGGTAGTGTTGTGAGCAATATAAGCATTCAATCATAATTTGGTAAAATGAAAAATAACCATCAGTTACCTAGACAATAGTAGAAAAAAAATCTTAAAAAAAAATGATTTTGAAAAAGGTTAAATTTAAACACTATTCGTCAATATAACCTACATGTAAGATATGGTATACAAGATTTAATAGTCATCTTCTTCATTTAGAAGATTAAGCTGTATTGGTTTAGTTTTTCCCTACTTAAAATATCAGCTAGTGTTGCCCCCCTGTTTTTTGAGTGGCCTGTTTTAAAATTAAGGTAGAAAAACTATCAAAAAGGGTTATTGTCAAAATAACATACATTGAATTTGGATTTAAGTACGTCAACGAAGATCTGGGTTTACAACAACTACATAAAATATTTCATTTGAAATTTTAATAATTATGTTTACAAATGTAATTGCTGTTCAAAAAACGTTTTACACAAGTTACTAGAGGAAAACTTTATTTTGGACATCTATAACATACTGATCTTGCTCAGAGCACTGACATTTTAGAACATCAGGGATATCTCTGTGAATTGGTCTATGATATGATGATGTTGAAAGATATTATGTGCAGCTTAGTATTGATACATTTCATTAATCCCATAAGAAATTATTTAAAACAAAAGATTGCACTATTGTCAACATAACTTACACAAAATATACAAGGAAGGTCAATTTTACAAAAACATAGCAATACCATGGGTTTCAAATAAAAAGAGGTAGTAAGATACAGATGGTTGCAAACAAAATAATGTGAATTGATAGAGATATTAAAAACTTCAATTTTATATCCTAATGTCACACTTTCCAGACCACCTTTATGGCTTTACCCATATATTATTCTATTGCAATTTGTTTGTAGCCACCATTTTAATTGGAGAACATCATTATATTTGAGTGGAGTAAAATCTACCATTCATATGTCTGTAACCAGGGAAGCTACTATTTTGAATTAAATAATTCATTGGTAAATGTATGTTATTGTTACAATAATTAGGGTAACAATAAGATGTCTTATAGGTTAATCTCTTTGTCAAATTTGGAATAATTGAACGATTTTACATTAGAATGGAGATCAAAGTATAATATCTAAAGCTTGGCCAAATTTAGACTTGGTTTAACTGTCACAAATTTCTTTTTACCATTGCAACATATGACACTGGGTAAACTCAATTCGCTACAGTTACACCTACGTTTAATTCAAGTTGCTGTATTGTATGGGATATAATCAAAAGTTATGTAGTCACTTGTTGATTCAATGCTAATATATACAAATTGTGTCATAGACAATGGTGAAAGATACAAATATGATGGTCATCACTGAGACCCATACTTGCCGTCAGAAAACTTTTGGAGTACAATTATCGAAATCAGTCTCAGAATTCAATTTACTGGATTTGGTGCTTCGAGCACAAATTTTGTACTCCAAGTACTGAGCTAAGTTTTTAGACCGATACTATAAATTCAGAAATTATTGTGTGCACTTATTATTACGATTTTTCAACAATGAACAAAAATGAGAGACTAATTATTGTGATTTCAGCTTAATCTCTATAAAGATGTGTGTATCAGATAGCAGAATGTGAGTCCTTATTATTGCAATACTCATCCAGTTGCAATAATTTCTGAATTTACAGTAAATAAGACAAATGCCTTTAACAAAATACATACTTTCACCGTCTCCATCTCTATCAAACTCATCAATCATTGCTCGCAGTTCTTCATCTGTCATGTTTTCTCCCAATTCTCTGCAAAATAATCAAGAGTACTTCAAAATAGATGTACATTATATCTGATCTTATAAGCAACTTGGTACTTCGAAAGACCAAAGGACTGTCTTCTGTTATTTGGTCAAGTTATGGTCTCTTTGACACACTCCCTGTTTCCAATCTAAATTCAAATGAATACTACGGTATAAGTCTGTGATCCTTGTACATTCTTTGCTACATGTCACTAAGGCTAAATGAGAATATTGTCTAGAAATTGTATGTTCTAAACATTTCTTTTCATGACCTAGTTCAGACTTTATATACTGACCTTACTGGTAAACACTTAGCAAAGTAGTTCCATTGTTTCATTCCTTTTTTATATTATAAATAGTAAGTGGATAAAACATCTGATAAATATAATAGTAAAATTCAATTGTGTCTAGGTTTGTGTTTGCAGGTAAATAAATTGTAATTAAAGTCCCAGTGTGTTACTCCAAATAATTGGTTTTATTAAAATGATTGTAATCAAGGTTTTCTTATCGTGTTTTCATATCTTACAGGACATGTGAAACAAATCTAACCTAGTAAATTGAAAGATCTGATTTTAAGAATTATTTTTTCCTCTATATATATTTAATGAACAATGCATATGTATCATGAGAAAATGGAACTGTAATTACCTAGCCACTCTTCTTAGATTTCGTAAACTAATTTTTCCTGATGTATCATCGTCAAATAGTTTAAATGCTTTCAATATCTCTTCTTGTGGATCTCTTTCTAACATCATATCTGTCACTGGAATTATAAACATTCAATTTTGATAAATTTTGGACTTATCTTAATATCAATATTGGTGGATGCAAACTTCAATTTGGGTTAATGGATCTAACTAAAAATCATAGTTGGCGGAATGACCGCATTCCAGGTAAAAAATAAACAATGTAATTTTGTTCTTTCTGTGGAAATTTTTCACATCTCTCAAAAACAGGTGTTGAATGTCTTCACCACTAATTGAAAATACACCTACAACTTTACCCTGATATCCTGTTAATATAACACTTCATTAGATGGTTTGAAATGTTTAGTATCTACTTTTTGCATGTCCAATTAATTATAATCAGATTGCTAGAATCAAATTGATTGTTCTAATCGTCTTTCCATGAGATGCAATGAAAGGTCATGTGCAGAATGTAATGTAAGGGTCAGTATAAATCATTTTAAATATTGAATGTTGGTAGAATAGACAGGCAGAATAGTCATAGATTTTGGAAATTTATAACAAAACAAAAGGTGATACATGTAGGTCATACTTACTGACTTCATTAAAATCTTCAAATGAAATTTTACCCGTCCCTTCTCTGTCATAATCTCGTAAAATTTTTAACACATCTGCTTTCTTGACATCAAATCCAAGTGCTCTCATAGCAACCTTAAAAATAAGACAATAAATTAAATAAAATGTGATTATCAAAAAAAATCTTTACAAATATTGTTTTACATTGAGTTTGTTATCTATTACAAACAAAGACATGCGATGGATAAAGACTGTAGAAGTTCACAAATTTCTGGATTCAGTTTGTGTGTTGATTTTTTAAATGAACAAGAAAACTGAAAATTTGAGAGTAACTTGCTTATTTAATCTATGTGGTATCCATACATGCCATATGAGTGATTTTTTTTTTCGGAATTAAAAATGCCAATTTTTATCAACATTATAAAATAAAGAGGTGGCATATATCAAGAGGACTTCCAAGATTCGTCAGCCAAAGAAAATCTGACGATCCTATGGCAAAAAAAGAAAGAAGATGAAAGCTGAAGACTTAGCAACATAAACTCCACCAAAAACTGTGGTGATGTAAGGTGCCTTGATCACTAGAGGTAATCAGATCCATGATACATTATCTTCTTTTTGCCTCCCTTAAATATTTTATGCTATAAAAAATGAACAGCAGAAACAGGGGTAACATGAATAGTTTGTGCAATGTTTTTTTTATGACAATCTTTGAACACATAAAAGAGGTGCATGTGACTACCAGTAATTTAGCTTGTCTGGCAAGTCCCTTCATTTCAGGTCATATCAATAAAATGGAGAGACTAACTGGATGAACAAATTACCAGACTTTAGCAGGTGTTGGTCTAAGATTGAGGTAAGGGGATGTGGTCATTAAAAGTTGGCAAATTGGAGTGAAAGAAAAAAAATTGTTGACATGTTTTATGCCAAAAAAAAGATATTGTGAGGGATGCAAGCTAGGTTTGCCACAGCCTGAATCTGCCCCTTTCGAGGGATCACAAATATTTTATAATAAGTTAATAAATAAGATGATCTAAATACGATTGATTGATGCAAATGACTTGTAGAGGTCAATCTTTGGTCTGCAATATGTTCAACAATAAAAAAGTGTCTATTGAATATCATGAATATATAAATGCAAAGCTCTTTATAATATCACCAAAGATAGATTTACTGTACTTTGTGTTTCGTTATTATCCAAAGCCCTGCCTTTTCATGCTTCTGTTGTCTTTATATGTTAAAAATTTAGCTGTTGGTCATATATCTTTTGTTTTATTCATTGTTGTACAATTATAGCATAGATCAGGCAATTGTTTTTTCTATTTTGAATGGTATCATATTTTTGTCATGTAAAGACATTTTATTTTTTTACTATACAGTAAGGGTTTTGGTCATTGTTGAAGGCCACAGTGACCTTTAGTTAATCACATCTTGTCCTTTGGTCTTTATGGATAGTTGTCTCATCATGCTCATTGGCAATCACAACAAATCTCCTTGTTTTTATAAATATTAACATGATTAAGTTATGCTGAACCCTCAATTTAGGAAACTGTGGATTCATTTATTTTTCGTGCATTGAGGAAAAATTGTTTTTGTGGATATTTGATTTCTTGATTGTTTTTTTTTTAGTTTTCATACAAGCCTATAAAAAATGTGCACTTTGATTGGTTGAACATTTAACATTTAAATTCATGGTTTACCTTAACGCACAAAATCCACGAAAAATTAATATCCTTCGAATGATAATGAATCCACAATAAACTTTACTAGGCTATACCTCTGTATTATTTGTCCTAATACAAGTTTTATGTTACCTTGAGTTAATGATAATCTATAGCTCTGTATTATTTTTTGTAAGACAAGGTTTATGTTAACTTGAGATCATGATAATCTATAGCCCTGTATTATTTGTCCTAAGACAAGTTTTATGTTACCTTGAGATCATGATAATCTATAGCTCTGTATTATTTGTTCTTAGACAAGTTTCATGTTACCTTGAGTTCATGATAATCTATAGCTCGGTCTTTATCTGTATCGAATAAATCAAATGCCTCTTTAATTTCTTGTTTCTGTTCTTCAGCTAATTCTCTTTTCTTCTTTTTCTTTGTCTTGTCTAAAGCAAATTCTGCTCTAAAACAAGATTTAAACCATTATTTATTTCATATACCATGTATGTACATGATGATATTCATCATACAATACATTGTATATGTCATAAGAGACCATAAGGACAAAAATGAAGTAGTTCTAAATTTGCTCCATACTAATCACTCCAAACCTTAAGTTATAATGCTCCACAAAAGCATTGCATCAATGAACTATAGAATATGAAAAATAAAAGAATTTAGTTCAACTTTCTGAAAGTCAATTTTTGTAATATAAGTGAATATGATAGTGTAGTCCTCCAAGCAAATCAGTGTTCTCCCCAGGATTTTTGGATAGCACCAGGGTAACGTGTGTGGACAGCTTACTACATATTTATGAGTTGATTACGGGTACCTACATGTACATCATTTTCAATGTTCAGATCAATACATAAATGTTCTCAAAAACATTTACCACTTTTTCAAATTAAATAATTGCAGTGAACTTCCCAGATTTTAAATTCTTTATGAATAAACATGATACAAGGAAATGTATATGGGGTATACTTTAATGACACAGCAAGTGAACAATACAGCTGTGAAATTGTGAATCCACCAAGAAACCATATCAGCTGACTTATAGCATCAAATAAATTCCGGGGTCTCAGCTACAGCTTTACAAGTGGACGCAACAAGAAGATTCAAAATGTGCACATTGCATTGATTTTAATATGCGCTTGGTTGGATTTGCTGTTTGCGAGTTTTAATACCAGAAATATTACCAGATATCAGGCTAGCACCATTTCTTGATAAACTAGGAAATAAACATGTGCTATATGCAAAGTGCACCAGGGCACTTTTATTAGTTGCGCTTCGACCTGATATTACTAATGGAAACATTTATGTTTTTTCTGTACTCTTCATAATAAATGAAAACAGTATTGGGTTATTTTCTGTGCAAGTTGATTAATGTTTATTCTATTTTAATTGGTATCAAAGCCAATGAAACTCTTTGTACTAATTGAAGTACCACACGTAGTGAAAAATGTCAACAAAGAGATAAATTTTACGAATTACACATCTGGAACTGATCAAGTAATATAAATTTTACCTTTCACCGCTACTGTACATGTACATGTGATGATTGAAATGATTGATAACGAGACTATTTACCGTTACAAAAAGAAGATTAAAAAATGAAATATTTATTTAATCTTAATCTTCTTTATACTACAGAAAATTTTTAATTCAGACATACCTGTGAATATGCTATATCACATCTGTTTATTTTTTTATTTTTTAAGTCATGGCCGGTGTGACAATATTTGTTTCAAAACCAGGAAGATGTTTGATAGAAAAACAATTCACCCGTACGTTTACGGAGAAAATATGAAAAATTTCCGGAAACAATACCCAAAAATCAATTATTGCTAGATGATATATATAGTAAATTGTTAAACAAATAAGTACCATTGATATATACTTGTTAATTTCATTGCTGATAATTTTATAATTTAACTGTTAAATTAAAACTAATGTTAATTTAATATAATGATGCTTACCAGAAACAACCCTGGATTTCTGGTATTAACAAACAGGGACTCTTTACTGGAATGCTGGACTAGTGAAGTACATTGTTAACAGCAGAAAGTGCAATTAGTTGTTGTTGAATAAAAAAAAAAAAAAAAGGAAAATGTCAACACACAAAGATGTTTCAATTTTAGACGTTTATATATGAGGGTTGGAATGGGGTAATATTGATTATTAATTCTTTTTACCCATAATACGATTTTCCTTTCTTTTATATTTTAACACCATTTTAAATCTCTATTTTTAAAGTTTGAATTAATTTCTTGGCATTTTTCTGTATTCTGTAAAGCTCACTTAGACCCTCATATACTAGAAATTTTTCTCACACAAAATTAATAATTTTGCTTGGGGTAGGATTAAATAATTTTGTCAGCTTTAATTGTCAATTTTCATGATTTCCAATTAGGGGAGGGAATTGTTTCCACAAGTCTTGAAATAGCAAAGGGTATGAATCAATAACGACAACAAGACAATATAAGTTGTAATATTACATGTAGCATTAATTAGCGACTCGAGGCTGTTGCATTTTGTGAAAATTGTTTAAAAGAATATAAAGAAGAGTTTTTAATTTTTTAAATGATTTTTACCGAGGCAACTGCGGTTGCCGAACGTAAGCTATGCCAATGCTGAGTCCCACCTCTACATATAGCCCCTTACATAAAATAGAAACATGCTGGGGTGTCAAAAACAGGTCCCATATCTCCATGTTCATCTGCATCATCAGAGTCTGAATCATACTCTGAAATCTGATCAAACTGCCAGGAACCAGCTTCACGCTACTTAAACTTTAGTGACTGGTTTCCGTACATTGCTTCCGATAATACCAGTCCTTTATAGAGTTTAAGAACGACAACTCTTAAGATAAATTAGGGTGATTTTTATTTTCAATACCACAAAACTGTTCACGAAAAACAACGATTTAACATCTTCATCACGGAGAAAATATGTAAATCTGAATTGAAAACAAGCCACAAATAATGCACTCATCACGAGTCACGAATAATAAATCAATGCAAAAACGAATCACAGAAAGCAAAATTCCATGATCACAAGGACGAAAAATAACCCATCAGCCCCCTCAATATTACAATAAACTCAGATGGTCCAATAAAAGAAATGTTTTACTTTTATTTTGTGTTGTTGTTGACATTAAATGTTTATTTCAGTAATTTAACAAAGTTTCGTCAATGCTATCACAATGTCAACTTTGAAATAATTATTTTTTGCATTCATATCCGACTTGTCAGAACTTGAAAGATTTGGCCCATTTGCACACATTTTTTACTGTATACACGATATCAAAACGTTTAACGTAGGATTTACTTTCGATTACATTCGAATACAAATACTCGAAACCCGTGCACTTTGTACCTTAATGCTAAACTCATTGCTAGGTTAGTTTTCTGAAGATTTTATGGAAAGCGGTTAAAAATACCGCTTGTCGTTGCTATCCCTGTTTGCTGATAATTCGTGATTGTTTCGAAAAGGGAAATCAAATGTATGCGCAACAATTATTCAATAAAATAAAACAAAAAATTATTATAAATATTTGTATTTAATATTAATCTGATAATGTTAAAGAAAAATTAAAATTTGAAGATCCGAAAGTACAGTATATGTATTAATTTGAGACAATTCGCCCCAAATATACTCGTCCCCATTTTGAAAGACTCATCACTGAAAAAATGAGTCCAATCTCGCCCTACGTATAAAAAGAGTCAAAAACAGGGAATACAAACCAGTTAAGAACTCTTGATTAAAGGAATTAGGAGTTATCATAAAAGATGGGCGAAAGATAGCAGAGGGACATTCATTGTAATAATTTTACATTAATTAATTTTTTTAGCAATTTAATACAGATTGGTGTCTTTTGTCTTTGAACTAAGCCTGAATAATAATTTGAACGTTGACGAGCAATCACTGAAGGATAAATATGCCTTCTTAAACGGGGCAAGTTGGTAAAAAAATTGAGGACACTTAAGATAAAAAAAAAACGGGTCGTATGGATACTTACAATCTTTAATCTTTAAAAATAACTATTAAAAGTGTTGCTCAGTCTTTGGTTTTTATGTTGTGTTTTGTGTACTGTTGTTTGTTTGTTTGTCTTTTTCTTTTTTAGCCATGGCGTTGTCAGTTTATTTTCGACTTATGCGTTTGAATGCCCCTTTGGTATCCTTCGCCTCTCTTTTAAGAGCGGACGTTTTCTTCCTGTTATTGTCGATTATGACAATCATTTCGTGACTAAACAATGCTATGAATAAATAAAATAGCAAAGAGATCATACAGTATGACACGATAAACTACTGATTTGTTTCTTTTTTCTGTTTAAATATTTTTATATAGTTATTTCTTTCTTTTTTTAAATAGCGGTTGGCGGCTGATATTGCCATTACATGTATTATGTTATAGTAATCTCAGTTGTCTGCCAGTAAGTACATTTGTGTACTACAACTGTTAAAAAATATCTTACCAAAAGGATATTTAGTGTATCATGTAAAAAAGGACAAAAGCTAAAACAGTCTTAAAATGCTCGAAATGTATCAAGGATTTCCTCTGTGATCTTTACTTGTCATTTAAAGTTTGAAATTTTATTAATGATATTCCTTCATTTAAAAAAAACCAACATGGCTTAAACTCATCTTAATCTACAATATAAACAAACAGCACTTAAAACTTAAGTCACTTAGTCAGGATGATGAGTTTTTTGCTTGAAATGTTGAAATAAAATAAATTAAAATATATCAAACAAATCATACTTCAAACCTAAAATTAAAATATTTAAAAACTTTTTAAGTTATTTTTAACAATTTCATTCAGTTGAATTTCAGCTGATTTACAAGACAACCTTTTTTAAATTCCATTTATTTATGTGACTATGTGCAAATTCTTTCACATTAATTTACAGATTTTAAATTGAAGAAATAAACACTTTTAAAAGTGCTCCAAATCATACAGGTATATGCTTTCTATGCAGAGATGTGGGTGTTTTTATTTAGATATTTTTTTTTCGATTTTTTACGTGTGCATTTTTAACAGCATACCTGTAGTCAGTGCGGGTACAGTGCGTTTTATTATTTTTGAATAACTGGTTAAGAATATTATTTCCTCGTTATGATATCAATTTAAAATTAAAAAATAAGAATACATTACAGGCTTTTGACTTTGGACAGGCACATATTTAAAGAATATGGCGGGGTTATATATGCTTTTGAGGGCTCAGCTATCCCCTAACCTCGGACATTGCTGTAACAGTAACACATTAGAAATATTTATTTAAAAAAAATACGGAATGTTCCATGATGAAGATATTAGATTGAACATTTTGAAAGGAAAAATCACAATGAAACACAATTCATGTCAGGGTAAAATCTGTTTCACTCTTCATTCAGGCTAGAAGTGCTTCTTCTACCGGTTCCTGATTTTTCCTTTCTTTGGTAGTGAGCCAGAAGAAGTCCATTCCTGCGACGTATTTTTTTTTGTTCTTCAGTAGTGAGCCAGAAGAGGTATTTTTTTTTTTGCATTATGAAGATCTTCTGTCCCTCTTCTACCTCTTCCCTTTAAATGGGTAGATTAGACAACAGAGGCACATACCAAATATGACGTCGTTTAGTCTAAATGATGTTGATAAATTTATGAATGCAGATATATTATAATGTGAGCTGTGTGATAAACGTTTCTATGGTATGGTAGTCTTTGTATGACATCCCAGTAGGAACGATAAGATGGATGAAGATAAACATTTTCTTGCAATACTATTATATTTTTAAGGCACGAGTTAAAACGTCTGCTTAATAGGGGTACGTGTAAAGTGCGAAACGAAATAGAAACGGAAAGAAACAAAACAAAACGAAACAAAACGAAACGAAACGAAACGAAACGAAATTGCGCAAAACGAAAAGAAATGAAACGAAATAAATATTTTTTTTATAATTTTAACGTAAATATCTGCCAAATGTCTTATAATACAACATGTTTGTGTGTTGCAAAGTTTGCATGTATTTGAATGTCATTGTTTTAGTGGGAACAAATCAAATGAAACCGGCAGAGGGGCGAACGTTTATTTTCAGGGGGGGGGGGGGGGGGGGGGGGGGGGGAGGGGAGGGTCACACCTACCGGTGCTTACTGCCTAAATGTTAAGTTTTCATACGTCGTTTTGAATGATAAAAAGTTTTTACGGTAACATATTACCCTAGAAAGAAAAAGGGGTGGTACACCTGAGATAAATAATATATATGCGACTATATTTCACAACTGGGATAATGAGGACACGCACTTGGGTCTCAATCTAGATTTTGGGTTCTATGACTAAATGAAGGTATACACAGACGTGCCGCTGAAATAGGTTTCCCTTTTATATTTAAATCATATTAATGGCATACACTGAATATTACTGAGGTCAAATATCAATGGGTCAGTAATTTTCATCCTCCGAATTATAATAGATGTTTGTTTAAATGTTGTTATATCGTTTTTATTCAAATTAAGATATCAAAACTTGTACTTGGATGGAGAGTTGTCTCATTGGCAATCATACCACATCTTCTTATTTATATTGTATAATATGTGATTACTGAGAAAACTATGAATGGGTCATGATTTTGCCATCGGAAACATATTAAGTGTCGTGATTTTTTTCTCAAGGTTTTAATTTATGACTTTTTTGGGTGTTTTCCCAGCTGCACTGCTGTACCCAAAATCCAATGTTTAGATCGACCCCACTCCCCGTGATTGAGAAATAAGCTTCATTAAATGAGAGTGGCTTGAAAGATTTTAAAGCAAACTATTTCAATCCGAATACTATTGAAAATTAATAGTTTTGGGCTAAACTTTGGGGAAGTTTTTTTATCATTTGCATTTTTATTTGGGACATCAATAGATATGATCGTGCCACTTATAACCCCCCTCCCCTCTTCCTTTTTGCCCTTCCACCAAGGAAATTTACCTTCACGTACTGCTGCACCCAAATTAAACACAGAATGAAAATAAATAATTGAATTTGATCTTATAAAAAAATCTAAAATAATCGGGTTTGACAACAAATTAACATATGATGTCAGGAAATGTCAATCTAATTAAAATATAGAACTCGGATTTCGTTATACTACATATGTTTTGTGCCTCGTACTGATCTTTTGAGTTCAGCCAATTGCAACTAATTTTTACAAGTTGTTCTTCTATTGTGCTGTTACATCACTGTCCCAGGTTGGGGGAGGGTTGAGCGCTCACAAACATATTAAACCCACAGGGACTCGGCTAGAAGAATAAATTGTTGTTTATCAATGTTTTTCAATTTTTTTTTTTTCGTATTTTCTGTCTATTTGTATTAATTACATTATTAACGTTTTTAACGTTGGCATCAATATTTCTTTGTTTTCTAGCAATGTGCAGTTTACTATCCATATCAATATACTAAAAAATCAGTGGTTGTCGTTGGTTCATGTCTGTCATGATATTTGTTTTTCGTAAATCGTTTTGTCATAAATTAGGCCGTTAGTTTCCTCAGTTGAATTGATTCACATTTTTCCTGTCGGGGCCTTTTGTAGCCGACTAAACGGTATGGTTTTTTTGTCATTGTTGAAGACCGTACGGTTGCCTATAATTGCTTACATCCACTTTATTTGAACTTTGGTGGATAGTTTTCTCATTGGCAATTATACCACATCTCCTTGTTTTTATATTATATACCGAACTTTTAAGCTCGTGTCGTCCTGAACATGCATGAACTATTTGCCACTGGACGTTTAAAAATAAACAATTAACAATCAATCAATTTAAACTCGTATAAATTAAGGTGACACTTATTTTATATTTATTTATTTGGGGAGGGTTACAGGAGGATTTTGAATATGAATATGCGATCCAGGTAAGAACTGGGAAAAAAACATGCATAGCGGCAGATTGATGGTCGACCCCTTCCTGTTATTGTCCGGCTAGTTCTATAATATATAGAAACATTTTTTTCCTTTTTTTTTTTGCCATTTTTCATAGGATATTTTCATTATTTGTTTTCAATTGGAATATCTGATGGAAAATGTAAAAAAATAGACAAGAAATTTGTGATATATTTTATAGAACTACTATTAAGCGGGTACCTGTAAAGTGCGAAACGAAATAGAAACGGAACGGAACGGAACAAAACAAAACGAAACGAAAGATCGCAAAACGAAACGAAATACAGCAAAACGAAATGAAACAAATACAGATTTTTTTTTTTACAATTTCATCTTAAATGTCCCGCTCAATGTCTTTATATGTACCAATATAGGGAAAGGCAGTGTGAACTGATATATATGGGTCCGAAAAGTGGGATTATCGGGATATGATTCAGTAGTTAGAATGTTTTTCTGTGGACTGTTTTTGTGTGATCAGGTTTACATTCGGCTATTTTTTTACATGTAAAGAACATTACACATCGTAATGTTGGTTTATTTGTTGTCGTGAACACGAAATATTTGCTCCCGGGCCGACGTTAA